GGACTACTCTTAGACAAATGGATCATGTTTTGATACTGCTTTGCCTTGCCTTAGTAAATGAATTTGCTTTTCAAACATTACAGTTCCAGTGTTTTGTACAGGAAACCTAAAAAACCCCAAAAACAACAATCCCACAGACAAGCAACTTATTCACTTCCATATTTATTTGCAATTTCCAAGGAACTTCCCAATAGCAGCATACCAGTTTAGTGCCAGAAAGCTGGTGTCTGAAGAGGTGCTTGATGGCTTTCATTCTGACCCTGCCTACACCAGTGCAGCTCTGCTACATTGCTAGTGAAAACACAGGGCTACAAAGCCCTCTGCACAGTCATGAGAGAAGGATTCCTTATTTACTAACCACCAGTGTCTCAGGTGTGTGTTGTAATACCCCAGCTCCACTCATCACACCAGTTGTCTGCAAGTCAGACCATTTGTCTTCCTGCAGTCATGGAGGAAACTGCCACCCACCTTCTGTCATTGACCCTGAGTCCTCACAGCTGGGTGTTTGTAAGCTGCACTGCCCCACAGACCCACCTGTTGCTCCGATGAGTTGCTTCAAGAGCACCGATGTCCCACGAGGGAACCAGCCCATTAATACTGACTTGCAGACACCTGTTTCTCACCAAGCCCTTTCACCCGGAGAAGTGTGTCAGTCAGGTGGGTCTAGCTTATGCATACTTCTCTGAGAGGGGACTGCAGTATTCTAGACTGATACACAGTCTTTTGGGATGAGAAGCTGGCTCTCCAGAGTTTTGGTGCTCATTCCTTTGCAACAGATGTTGAGGTAGAGGAAGCCTCAGTGAAGAGCCAGCTGCCTGCCTGCATGTTGGAAGGCTGCCTGAAACAGGCTTCCCTCACAAGGTTACAGAGGAGGAAGAGGCACTGTGGGACACCACAAGGTTTGGCCAGGCACTGAGCTCTTCTAGGACTTTCTGGGACAATACAGATACTACTCTCTCCATGTTCCAGCTAACTGATGGAGTAATGTCTTGCTTGGGTCATGAGAAATGAAGTCTAGAAAGGAAGATGAATCTTTTAACTCATACTGCTTTTTCAAGGGGCTGCCTTTTTCAGGAAGATATTAGTTGAGCCAAGAATTTTTTCTGACTCAAAAGTGGTTCCAGCTTAATTTTTTGTACAGCAGGAGCTAGTTTGGTTGGGCACAGGTTCCTCTGAGAAACACACCTGTAAAAACTAATTCATGATCTGCATTTAGCTGGTTCCAGCCATGATGAGCAGCCCTTGGAGCAGACATTCTAATAGCAGTCTGTGGAGAGCTGCTGCTGCAAAAAAAGCCTGTTGTGGCAATGGCCTAATCCTACCCTTCTTCCTGTGACACAATCAGTTCTGATTTCAAACCTACAGCTGGTAAAACAGACCATTCTTGGCCTTTCTCATTTTTCATTCTCATCCCAGCTACTCTAGTGGTAGGTCCTTAGTGTATGGCCAGCTTTCTGCTAAAATCGGAAGTATTTTCTGATTGCACCTGTCTTTCTCCCAAGCCAGTTTTCCTCCTGTGAGGGCTGAGGGGTTTCACATGGAGTGGTGTTTCACCTCTGTGTTTCAGCTGGCAAAGCTTCTGGCACCAGCTAAGGCTCATGACTGGTGGTGGGGGCTGAGGGACAGTCTGTGTGGGCGCTGGCACACCCTGCTCAGCTGGCAGGAGAGAGCAAGCATGGCCAGGGCACATACTGCAGGGGTGTGACTCAGCTTCCTTACTGCCTGAGTCAAAAGAAGGGCAGAGCTGGGCAGCAGAAACAAACCACTCGGCACCGAATCCAGCACACGTCAGTCCTGAACAAAAGGGGAACCAGCCCAGACCATGTCGGTGCACATCTTATCTCATGGAGAACATCCCTAGGAAACCCCAAGATTTGCTCTGTTTCTGCTTGACTAATATGGTGCTGGAGGGATGCTGGGGAAGCTGAACAGCACAACAAAGCCATGTGGTCACTTGGTGCCTGCAAGTTTTCTGTAAGGTGCTATAATCTCTGCTCTGATGTCACTGTCACTTACCAGGAGCTTTGGGCCTCTCTTCAAGCACAGTCAGGTGTTCCCAAACAGGGGGATGGTGATTCCTCTCCCTCCTGTTTGGCAGCTTGTACACCCTATTTCACAGCCAGTGCTTCTCTGCAGAAGGATCAATTCTTGTGGGATCTGGGATGCTTTTGCCCATTGTTTTTGGTCTGCTGGTGGCATGAGTGTTAGTGGGATGGCAGGCTGCCTGGGAGTACTGGAGGGGAGAGCATGTGTTTCCACTGAGCACCATGAGCCCTAGCTTTCCTGGCACTGGCATCTGGAGTGAGACAATTCACCCTTGCCACACAGCCTCCTGTGGTTGATGAAGGGTCACAGTACATGGGTTAGTGAATTGTCAGAGGTCACAGAATAAAATCCATGCTAGTTCTGGGATGAGGATGTGATACACCTTCTTTCTCAGCCCACTGCATTAATGACAGAACCCTGCTGCCTTACCTGGACATGTGGACCACCTATGAAGAGGGGCTCAGCACCTCCAGCAGGTGTCCACACCAACCAAGTCAGATGTCTGCCTGGTTTTGTTTTATTCCAAGTGATGAATAGGAGGAGAAATGGCCAGCAATAACCCCTTACCACAGCAGTCTCTTGGCTTTGCAGAGGCAGGACAGTCTCTCTGTATGTCCACCCTGCAGCAGCCAGTACAGTCCTGTTGGGTCAATAGCAGCAGCTTTCCTTCCCGGAGCTTTCCTTCCCTTTCCTTCCTTCCTTTTTTGCTTGCTTGGGAACATCAGTGCACACAATTGCTGCCCTCACAGTGCAATCATTAACATAGGCAGTGAGCTAAAACAAACTCATCCAGAACTGCAATTCTGTGCTGAGGTGCTGGTGACGCGGTTCTAGGCTTAGCTGAGCTCTTTGAGCATATGATGTGACCTGTGGCTGCTCCTAACAATGAAGAAGTGAAGAAGGAGAAGAAAGAGGTGGGGGAGAAGGTGGGAGGAGGTGGGAGGCTTTGTCCTGTGGCCACTGAAGAGCATGAGAGAAGTGGAGAAGAACAAAGAAAAAGAATGCAAAGGAGTATCAAGACTGAAGACTAACAGTGAAGAGCAAGCCCCTTTTGTTTCCTGACTGCAGATGATGTGCTTGATTATAGGACTCCCAGAGATGAGGAGTGTTTGTTTGGAAGTCTTTCCTCTTCAGGAATTCCTAATTGTTGTTTGTGAAAGTGTAACTATTTGGTCTTGAAAAGACAGCTGAGCAGCCCCATCGTAGAGGCAAACAGGGCACTGGTTTCAACCAATACAACCCATGCAGCCTCTGACCCATGAGGAGTGTTTGATGGTCTGTACCGTACTGTATATTCCTGAAAATCAGACCATTCCTGTCCCTGTAAGGATTTTTTGGGCACAGCAGAGTCCAGCAATGTTTTTCTTAATGTTGCCGGTGCTTTGACTACAGGTCCCTGCTTTAAAATCAAGATGTGAAAGCAGGGTGTCATGTATTTGGTCATGATGGATGGAGGCAGATTCTCCCTCCTCTCCCTGGAATAATTACTCCTTTTGTTATGGTTCTTCATCTTTAGGAGTCTACTACTGAAATCTCAATTATTTAAGTATTATAGACTTCTGCTGATTGCAGCACCATGACCATGACACCCTCCTGAAAATAACAATAGCAGAAGGGATGGCAATCTTCCCATTAGGCAAGGCTAATGCTGCTACCAAACTCCCCTCCCCCTCACAGGCAAATCTGGAAAGAGCATTACTTTTGGCATGAATACACTTCCAGATTGCCTCCATTATACTCTTGTGTAAGCATTGTTGCCATCGTAGCTAGTAAGCATGTGTTAGCCCATTCAAGTTTTGCAAATGTTGGTATAAGGAAGATGAGGAAAGAAAACCTCTGGGCCATGATGTAGACAGCTCAGAAGGCTGATAGCCAGGCCTGTCTCCTTCTGGAGTGATGCAGGGTAAAAAAAAGCCCAACTGAGGAGATGAGCAAAGTTTGCTTTGGCATGTGCCTTGCTTACTGTGGGAGAACCAACACCCAGAGAAAATGCTGCAAGCACACAGTGAGCCCTCCTGTGATTAATTGCAAAAAAATCCCAATATGAGCAATGTTGCTGATAGGGTCTCTAGTTGCAAGCAAATTAAGAAAGTTTTCACAACACACAAATTGCACTTTTTATTGTCTTACACACAGGCACAGCATGTGTGCAGATGTGTGCATGTGTATGTATACAGTCCACATAAAATTAACAGGTCATGGCAGACACCTATTTAAAAAAGAAAAAAGTAACAGTAAATTGCACGTTTCTGTGTCTGCACAAAACAACAGAGTAGCAGCTGTTTGGACACACTCACTTTGAGTAGGTGAGACACTGCAAGTCAGGAGACCTCCACCAGAATAAGAATTACATTCTTTTATGTCATCTGAGAATGTGTTCCTTAGCGTGTGTGTGTGTGTGTGTGTGTGTGCACGCCATGGCATACAGCCTGTGGTGCTGTGTGTGTGTGTGTGTGTGTGTGCCATGGCACACAGCCTGTGGTGCTGTGTGTGTGTGTGTGTGTGTGTGTGCCATGGCACACAGCCTGTGGTGCTGTGTGTGTGTGTGTGTGTGCCATGGCACACAGCCTGTGGTGCTGTGTGTGTGTGTGTGTGTGTGTGTGTGCCATGGCACACAGCCTGCGGTGCTGTGTGTGTATGTGTGCGCCATGGCACACAGCCTGCGGTGCTGTGTGTGTGTGTGTGTGCCACGGCACACAGCCTGCGGTGCTGTGTGTGTGTGTGTGTGCCATGGCACACAGCCTGCGGTGCGCTGCCAGTCCGGGCCGGTGTGCGGGTGTGCCATTGCACACTTCCTGCGGTGCGGGGGACCGGGCGCCGGTTTCCGGTGGCTGACAGGAGCCGGAGCCCGCCGCTGCCTCCTCCGGCGCGGAGTACCACACACCCACACACACCGCGGGGAGGAGGAGAAAGAGGGCGGAGGGAGCAGAGCAGCCCCCCCGCCCCAGCCCCCGAGCGATATCGCCCTCATCCCCCCATGCAATACGGGCGATATAGCACGGCTCCCCGCCCGCGCTCCCGCGGACAGACACCTGCAGGTACGTGACCCGCCCGGCCGCACTGTGCGTGTGGATGCGTGTGCGGGGCTGCGTGTGTGTGCATCCAGCGCTGCCCGCCGCGGGGGCGGGCGGTACTCCCGTGCCTGGCTCGCTCTCTCTTTGTGCGCGGCCAAGGGCTCTCTTGGAAGCTTCCCCGGGCACAGGCACCCCGGCCTTGTTGCGGAGCGCGGTGCAGTGGCAGGGCTCGGTGTGCCTCCCCGGGCTGCACGGGGCGTGCCGGTGAAGGACAGGGGGAGGCAGCGGTGCTTGAGGGGTCGTGGTTTGTCACAACATACGGAGTGGAGTGGAGCCCCTCGCCCCGCCTGGCATCCTCTTGCAGAAAGAATAGTGACCCTTACAGCCCCCGCCCCCCTCCCACCCCCTGCTCCCGGCCGAAACAGAGGCGGGCAGGCTCAGGGCGCTGTGGTTTGGGCCCCAGGGGTCTGCAACGAGAACGGGGCCGGGGGCCAAGTGCCTGGCGGTGTGGTTTGGTTCCACGTGAGGTTCGAGCCCCCGGCACGTCCCGCTCCGAGGGGTCCCTCTGATCCCCAGCCCAAGCAGGCAGTGGGGTGAGCACTGGGAAAGGCAGCTCCACACTAACTTGGCTTGCTACCGAGACGAGGCAGGAGCAATAAGGAAAGCCAGAAAACAGAAGCAAGCTTGGAAGGGATGGTTACATGCAAAGGAAAAGAGTGAAAACGATGGAGAGATATATTGAGCTTTCTGCAATTCAATTCCAGCTGTCAGACAGAGAGCTGCTCTCCAGCCAGAGGAGTAACTATGATACATTAAAACTCACCTTCCATCTGCAGCATTAATGGTTATAAATATCTCCTGAACACAGCTGGCAGTTCAGTAGTACTAGATGTAGAGTACGGCTATTTCCATTCAAGTGAGTCTGTCATCGGAACAAAACAATACACTCAGTAAAAATGACATTCTTGTATATGGCTGGCTTTCAACATTTGAGTTGTTAATTGGTGAAGTTTGCTTTTTACTGCCTTCTTTGCCATTCCCCCACTTATCGTTCTCAGAAATACAACCTCTGCCAGTGGTGTTGCGATGCTAGAGCTGTGATAGATGCTAAAGCTTGGCTGTGAACTGGCACAAACAGTAATGTTTTTCATTTTTCTGTTGATTTGAAGAGAAATGGAACTAAGCACTTAGCATGCTTGATAGCAGCAGTGGGAATTTGCATTAAACAAATGATGACAACCCTTTGCTGTGTTCTGGATGGCAACTTTTCAGCTCAGGAACTAGGCTTGTTTTCCTTAGCTTTTTTTTTTTTTCTTTAAGAATAACCCCAAAAAGGTCTTTTCAGGTCGGGAATGACCAGTTCCTGTTTCTCTTATGGCTTCTTCAGCTCTCCTCCATATAATTCAGAGCTCAGACCAACAGGGATATACTCACGTGGTTGTGCAATTCACCTAATAACCTCAGCCAGCACCACACTGGGGACGCACGCCTGCCCCACAGCACCATGTGCATAGTTTCAGACCTTTTCTGACTGGCTTTACCAGAAGCCGGGAAAAATTGCCCTGGGTGTCAAATCTGTCAGTTGTCTCAGGCTGATTATTCAAATGTCATTTCAGGTTTGGCCAAACCTGTTTTTGCTCACTTCTAAAGCAGCACAAAAATTGGAAATCACATGGTTCTTTTAAGCACCTACTGTCCTATGCTGAGCCTGGTGCTCAACCTGGCTAAATCATGCCCAGTGCCCATCCTTCCCTTTTGCCTGGGGCTTCAAGCAAAAAGCAATTTTTTTACGTTTTGGTCAAGTTTATCAGCTCTTTGAAATCCTTCATAGGTAAGCTAACAAACAAACCAGGTAGTTTAAAAACTTGCACCCAGAAAAGTAATGGATAAAAGAATTGGCAAAAAGATACTGTGTGGTTTAGTATTAACACAAAGTGTTGAGGGGATGATAGGTGGTCTTACATGCAGCGTAAAACTGTTGTGAGAGAGATACATCATGGAGTTACTATTTTTGCTGTTGTCACTAGCTCATCTCAAGAATGTAGCAGAAGGTTTTCTTTGTATTCCACTAAAATAGTTAGATGTTCAGAGAGTAACTTAAAACTTGTGGGGAAACCATAACAGCTCAAGTACTTCTCTAGCCATTGTTAGCAAGCTGGGTTTTTTGTAACCAAATATGTATTGATATTGCTCCTGTACTGATGCATCTATGCACTGGTAGTTGGTATTACACCAGGAAGTTTTCTATATTTTAACTTACTGAAAGTTTCAAAAGCACAGTATAATTCTGTTTCATTCATGCAGTGATAATGAATTTATATCACGAGTTCCTAGAGCAGCAGCAGTTTACTGTCTTAGCTGTCCACACCTGGCACTCACCAGCTGCACCTGCCTTAAGAGGCCACTGAACCTCACCCTGGTGCCAATTTGACTTGGCTGTCCATGTGTCCACCCACTGCAGCTCCATGGAAACTTGGAGTTTCAGCAGTGACATCCTTTGGTATTTCCAGGCTCCCATCCTTATGCCTCTCTACCTTCCTTCCCTGTTAGTCTTAAAATGCAGACAGAAGAGGTCTGAATGTTTTAAGTGTAATCCCAACCGTGGCACTCATTTCCACAGTGCCACTGTTTTTCCACATCTGCGCTCTGGGAGTGATAACCTATCCACGCAGGGCTCACAGAGGTGGTGTGAAAATTAACTGCTGTTTGTAAGGCACTTTCGCAGAAATGTGTGTGGCAATTGCTCCTCTTGAGGATTGTTGCACATCTGGTAATTCAAGTGTAACTGGCTGAACATTGGCTCTGCTTCCAAAGGTTATTGCTGCACACCTTTTTTTCAAAGTAAAACAGGGTGAGATTAAGGTTAGTGACTTAAAAGTAAAGCTAATTTTTATTGGCTTTTCTAGTCCCTTTTTGTGAAAAATATTTTAAAATTAGTGTTAGTTTGTATCAAATGTTTCCCTTACGGATTTGCATAATAAGTTAAAGGAACTCAAAAGATAAATACCTTACTGTAAATAATGAAGTGAACAAATGGAGCCCAGCTGCTTCATCCTCATTTACTTGATCTTGGTTCTGATTTGTTGATTTATGAACTTTATTTACTAGTCAGGTTGGTGAATTCTCTTGCAAGACAGAAATTACTGGGTGTCAGTCCTCTCTTGTTTCTGTGGTAACGAGTACCCCTCACAGATTCCCTAGTGACACTCCTGGCTGGCCACTGATCATCTGTGTTTTTCCTGAAGTAAATAAAAGGTCTTGGTCATATGACTGTCCAAACTTAAGCATTCAAAAAGGAAACAAAATATTAAGTGCCTTCAGCATGGTGAGAATATGTTGTAGTGTAGCTGCAGTCATACATACACAATTTGGATGTGTTTTCTTCTGAGAATCATATGGTGAGAAGTACCTGTCTCAGATCCTGGGTTTAGTCTAATCTTTGTAGAGCCTCTGCTTTGCCTGACTGTGTGCTAAGAAATTACTCTGTGTGATTGAGGGGCTATCCTCAATTACAGGTATTTTCGACATTTTCTGCACAGTAAGTTTTTATCATGGTCCTTGTATTGGTGAAGAGTTATTTCACATTTCATTCCCTTTTCTTAATTTTTGTTTAGCAACAGGCAGGATCTGAAACTTTTGTTCACTTGACTGATGTTAGCTCAGAGACATCATGAGTTTTGTTGGACTTGGGCATCTTAGGATTTTAGTCCTATGAAAAGTTTCAGGAACAAAATTTTTCCTCTAAGTGCAGAATCACAGGGTTAGATTAATGGTATTCATTGAGTGAGTACTGTGACCTTCTGCAAGTTTTTTTTTTTCTATTGTTCAAGGCAATTATTTTCAAAAAGCAGTCATCATACCTTAAATATTTTACATGTCTGTTTAACAGACAGGACCCAAGACAACTGGAAGAGATAAAGGGAGGAAAAAGGGAGGAAAGAGATTCCTGTCCCATTTTCTCTCCAGCTTTTTTTTTTTTTTTTTTTTTTTTTTTTGTATGGTCTGCTCTATTGCTTTCCTCAGTGATCTTCAGTAAAGTGTCTTTGATCAGTGTGGACAATCAGGCATTTAAAAAAAAAAAAATCTTAGCACTTTTGAAAACAGGAATATAGCCATATAGCAGTGATGAAACATCCAAATGTACACGAGACTTTACTTCTCATCCAGTCCAGTGGAAGTTTTCTTGCATCACCAGTGCTGTACTTTGAAAGCTTGATTGTTCAGTTCCTTGACCTAAGCACCGCTGCATCTCCAAGAAAGAAATAGGCAAGAAAGGTCTCCCAAGATACAATTATTTTCTACAGCAGTTTGTTTTCAAAATATATTTAAAGTTGACAGCAACTGGTTTTAGTAATTTCGAATTTCACTGTCTATCCTCATGGGGTGAAGGCTGGAGAAAAGCAAAACCACTGATGATCTAGTAGGTTAGAGATTTCAAATGAAATGAAGTGAAATTAAATGAAGCAACTAGAGCCACACGATGAGACACTCCATGAGATGAGTGGATGGTGTGCCTGTGCAGTCGGAAGATCCTTATTGCTGCAATTAACCAGATTAAAGATAGAGTGATGTTAAAGTGACTACGGTCCTGTTCCGCCCTTGTGCTAGACCCAGAGTCTTTGTAATCCCTTTGTTACTCCCGATACTCCTCATTTACATGTAAATTGGCTGCCACCCCCCGCCCTGTTTAAGTGTGGAGGGGGGGTTGCCCGAAGCAACCAACGTGAAAAACGACTGCGAGCTGCACTGTGTGGGACTCAGGACACCAGAGGCCCCCGTTGGCTGGATCCAGCACCACTGAGCTCTCTCACTCTCTCTTTTCATCTCTTTTCTTTTTCTTTCTCTTCCCCTCTTCCCCATCCTCTTTCTTCCTCTTTCTCATACATTGCAAAGTTTATGAATACAGCCATTTGCTAACGGTGTCCCTTCATGCCAGTAACCATTTGTAAGTTCGCCCTCAAATAAAATTGTAACTTATTAAAGGACTACCGGTGTTGTTCTAATGCATCTCTAGCCAAAGGTAT